CACTTAGCCCATTCAGATATGGGTCGAGCAGGTGAGGGTTAATAAGAATCCTTCTTCATGCATGGGTGATTAGATGTTTTCATAAACGGAAAGGGTGTCTTGTCAGGTACCTATGGGTAAAGGGGTTGAAGGGGATTCCTCTATTCTTTTCTGACATTCAGATGAAGGGGAACAAGTATAGCGTAGCACGCTGTCTCTCTCAATGAGAAAGAGTCCTGCTGTCCATCCATGAAAAAAATATTCTAGCAACTTTTTCAGTGACCCATGCACCCACCCAGGATGCACACAAGCGCTGGTCCAAAGTGTCATCAGTGGACTTGTGTACTAGTATATCTCTGAACGAAACTTGTAGTTCCTCATATTACAACAATGGAAACATAATTGTCAACATCACTGAGGACAGTGACAAAGAGTTCCCTTCTCTTTCCTTATGCTTCTGTTTAGACGTTCTGCCTGATTTCTTGAGCTGGTAGCGACTGATGGTCCAAACGGCGGCCCTTTATACCCTGTGATGAGAGGAGGGCGGGGCTAACGAGAGAGGGAGAGAGTGCAGAGAAAGGGAGTACCGAATGGAGCGCGTTTCTGTGCAGAAAGCACTGGGCTTTAATTTGAATGAATAGATAACGTAATGTTATTCAAATTCTTTTCAGCGCTATTAATATGCGATACACTGTTAGTTAGGCTGTCCACACGTGTCTCTTCACACATTGCTGAAGTCACATCAAAGAGGAGTGGTAGAATCGACGCCTCTATTATATCACAACTATTATATGCTGTATCAAAAAGAAAAGTATGTTGGAAGCTGTTATTAGGTCCGCGCAATTCCTGGAGGGATAGGGGACCACTGTAGAAAGGAAAGAGAAGGAGAGAGGGTGCAGAGATCAAGAGTGCCAAGCGCAGGGGCTCCTCTGTGGACACACTGATTGCAACAAAACGCTGTAAATGATACTTGTGTTATTATTTGCGTTTTATAGTGCTCTTATTTATTTATTCCTCAGCTATAATAATAAGGAGCAGGGGTATCCACCGTCGGGTCGTATAACATCAAAATGCAGCGGAGAACCTAAAAAGAATCTGACCATTCTGTAAGCACCGAAAGATTATCAAAGTAACCCGTTTGTCCTTTGGCCAGAACAGGGGCTACCCCATTATGCGTGCGAAGTATACGTCGCCACCAATTACCCATTCCATACACGACACATTGGAAAAAGGTCTTGAGCAAGGCATTAGAGGTGGTAGGTGGGACGAATATTGCAGGTGTGGACTGCTACCATGAGTAGACATAAGTAACATCAAATGATGCTCATGTTGTTGTAATGATGATGTTGGCGTTTTGCCGCTGCTTCTTTCCATCAGAGGTGTATTATTGCCTCTGAAGTATGTTGCCATTCTATACGGAACCCGGAAACAGTCGAATTGACCTAACTCCACGAGGCATGAACCTCCTGGACTGGATGTCATTTGGGTTGTAATTGAAAAGAAAACATGAACAAAACAAATCAGTTGTGTGTGCTAGAGCTCATCGTAGACTATGCAAGAGAATGCATCGGAAGAGCCCAACACCCTTGGTACTTGGGGAGAGGTGGCGGTACTTCTCCCCAAGTTCCCATGGCGAGCGGCTGTGATTCGCGGCGGCTACCCATGGGAAGTTGGGGAGAAGTACCACTGGGTACTCAAACCTCCCTTCATAGTGTGCAACTGGGTGCGACAAGCGTGACACGATTTCCTGGGGAAAGATACCACATCCCTTAGGAGGTGTGGTATCTTAAGAGGTGACCTAGCCGCTGATGCTAGCGTGAGCACCGTTGTGAAGTCTCATATACACCAGGCATGAGGTAGAAAGAAAAGAGTTCATTGGTATCTTCTGCGATTAATGGTGCTCCAGGATACTAAAAGGAAAAGAATTTTTGAAAAACGACGACGCGAATAATAGCCGAAGCTAATCGCTAGGTATCTAGCATTTGAGGTGGTGGAGAGAGTGTTTCGACTCCAGGAAGAACCTTTCCGGAAAACTCGAGAAATAGTACAATAAACACCTCTACATGTTTGATGCAACGCACCTTCAAGAAGCTCAAGACTGGCGCCACCTCCGGTTGAAACATGGGTCACCTTGTCCTCAGCCTTGGACTTTTTGTAGCAAGTCGCAGTACCTCCGCCCCCTAAATTCCGAGTTTTTCGAGAGATGGATGCACCATGCTCTATAAATTAGGTAACGGGTACCATGTGTACCAGTTTTAATGAGGGACACACCTTCGACTCACCGAAAATTGTACAGTAACGAGCTCCAGTAGCCTTCACGACAGCATCCATAAGAGCCTTTGTACCGTGGGAGAACTTTTCAAACTCAAATGCTCCGGGAGGTCCATTCCATACAATAGTTTTAGCTCTAGCGACGACTGTTGTAAATAGTTCCTCAGATTTCGGTCCAACATCCATATCCATGTGACCTGAAAGTAGGAAAAAGTTGCTTAGTGTAAGTAACAAAGAATAAGGCAATTCAGTCTCAAAAACATCCACAGTAGTTGAGTAGGGGAGATATGATGGGAGAACCTCAACCATTACCGATAAGTTGGAAGGCTGCGTGCTTCCATTTTTTTGTTGTTTACATCTGAGGTACAGAGGTATATCATCTCATCCGTGGACAACTGAAAAGCCATCTTTCAACTGTCCTATTTATGTACATACCCAGTTGGCTCAAGAGAACAGTTTTTCCGCACTCTTCAGGAAAAAAGACTTCAATGGCTCAAGCCTATAACCGCACTGCAAGAGCGGAAGCCGGGTTGTTTGATTTTCTTTTGTTCATGTGTGAGTATCTTTATCTGTTCTGAGGAGTAGGTTGGAGAAATTCAGCGTAGCGTTGGACTGCACGAAACAAACCTCACCCTTTCGCAGACCTGCTCGTTGATAGCAAATGTTGCTTCACGTTATATTTGCTATCAACTTAGGTTTTTCCATCGACTGTGGGAGCGGGCGACTCGGTTGCAGTTGGCTTTGATGCGCAATGCCACATTTTCTCAATTGCGGGAGTTGTCAAGCAGTTGGTTGGAGCAGTGTGCTGAAGCGACGGTAAAATAAATCAACAGCTACGGTTCGGATCTCAACGAAAGGAATCAAATTGGACTACACCGGCATGAAACCTCAACTGTACTGACCTGATGAAATAGGTAGTATACTATACAGTATGTTTGAGTGGAAGAACAGCATGATACCGAGCTAACGGATTGATCTCATCGACGACAAAGCCATAGATGGTTGAAGACACGGGACACTACTCACCTGCAACTTCAAACATTGTGCCTCGAAGCCAACTACAACCGAATAAACCGCTCCCACAGTCGAAAAATATACTTAAAATTCGGCATTTCCAGACCAGGGGATTTTTTTGAACATGTCATTCACACGTGAATAAAAGAGAGTTGAAAAGGTCACCGCTCTTAATTTGGAGCTTGAGCCGGTGAGGTCTTTCCGTTTGGAAGAGAAACGGAAAATGGTTCTGTTTAGCCAAATGGATATATACATAGAGGGTCTGGTGCGATTCACGCGTCAATACAATGAGGTCATCGGACAAAACGAGCTAAAACATGATGCCTACCACCATAACGGAAGAAATAAGAACTTATAAGTAGAACAAGTAAAGAAATGACCAACTATGCACGTTTACAGAAGGATTGCATCTTCTAGGATCAAAGAATTTGAAGTTGTTCTTATTTTGAACGTTTGACAAGTAAATAGTTGACCTATGAGGTGAGTTCTCAATTTCGAAGGGGCTTTTTTGCCATTGTAAAGAGATTTGCTTTATTCATGGTGAAGCCGTGGACTACTGCAAATTTATTTGGTCCAGCTCAACAGAAAGATACTGAAACGATGCTGCGTGGGCGAAGAGCTGGAATGGGGTCACGCGTGAGTCGCGCGCCCCCCATACATAGAAGCATGGCTTTTGAACGTCCACGGACCAGATGGCATAATTCTACTTTGCTCACAGCTGTGAAAAACGACAAAATGAAAGTACACAGCCTCCCAGTTCGTCTACCGTCCCCATTCACCCCATGTTTTTTCTCTAAAAGATCTCTTCTGAGCGAAGTTTCCTGTTCCAGGATAGTTAGAGAACACTATCTTACAATATGTAAGCGAAACGAGCTTTTCTTCGCTTTCACGCTTGCTAATATACTCTCCAAAGAAATTCTGAATTCAGAAGGTTGTCCTCGAAAAGCAAACCCATGCGGTATACGCGGCAACTTATGGATATACACTCATCTCAGGATGAGTGCACCGGTTACTGTTCGATTGTTCTGAATTTTGTTTTGGGTAGTGTTGCTCTTCTGCCGCTGTTGAGAATTGAGGACGATGTCCTCGTTCTGGGCACAGAGTATGACTGAGGAGGAGTACGAGCGCACTTTGAGTTCGTGTGAGTAGGGAGGGGGACGAGCTCTAGAACGAGGCAGCGGCATTTCGCAGTGTACTGTTGAGGTCGAGAATCGCTAGCAAAAGTACTGGGTTGATATACATCTCACTCACCTGAAAAAGATACACCTATTTCAGGAAAGGGTCCTAGTTGGGCTGACTGGCACATGGGGAAAGAATAGCCTGTGAGACAAGGAATTAGGTAGATTCCTGCAGTGTAAACTGACAAGTGCTTTTTTTTCCTAAACCACTCCCATATACAGGTGGGAATGTTCATACATGAAAAAAAGAATCCAATGAGGCTATTCCACGAAATTCAGATTTGGGTCAAGCAGGTGGGGTCAATAAGAATCCTTGTTCATTCATGGATGATTAGATGCTTTCATGACGGTAAGCGTGTCTTGTTAGGTGCCTAAGGGTAAAGGAGTTGAAGGTGATACCTCTATTCTTTTCTCACATTCAGATGTAGGGGAACAAGTATAGCGTAGCACGACGTCTCTCTCAATGAGAAAGTGTCCTGCTGGCAAATTCCATTTCCGATTCGAATTTTTGCACAGGATAAGCATTTTACTCACTCTTACGATACTCCTATTCTTATGGTTAGTCATGGACCAAAACCTCCATGTCCGTAGCTTACGATCATTTCTAAGCACCATTTACACGCCCGCATAGCGGACGCTTTGCCCTTCCCTGCGCTGTGGCCATTAGCCTCAGCGTGGATGGCTTGTGTTGAGGTGAAGAGGAAGCCTAAAAAGATAAGGCTAGGAGGTCAACACAACTGGTAGCAGCTAGATAACTGGAGCCTGTCAAGTCTCAATGTTGGAGCACACCTCAGTGTGTAGTGCAATGGCCCACTATGGTCGTTACTCCTACAACCATAGGGGGTTATCACGCAAAAAATTATAAATCACACTTACTACGAAGTCTTACTTCCATGCCAGTAATTACCTGAACTGCGATTCAATTTCCAATCAGGATCCGCATATGGAAAAAAAATTAATCGAGCAACTTCTGTAATGACCCATGCACTCATCCAGGATGCACCCACGCATCTGGTCTAAATAGCCATCAGCAAACTTATATGTTAGTTTCAGCAATGGAAACATCACTGAGGACAGTGTCACAGTGGCCCCTTCCTTTTTCCTTGCGCTTTTAGTAATTCATTCTAGCTGAATTTATGTACCGGTAGCAATTTGTGGCTCCTACGGGGGTTCTTTATACCCTGTGATGAGAGGAGGGCGGGGTTAGCGAGGGAGTGAGAGAGCGTAAATAAGAAGCATTACGAATACAGCAGGGCTTTCATGTGCAAAAAGCGCTAAGCATTTATCTAGAGGACTAAGTACCGTACTTGTTGTTCGAGTTGTTTTTGACTTTGTTGATATGCAGTAAAGTCGGCGCCTCTATCTTATCACTACAATTATATACTACATCAAAGTGGTTGGGCTTGTCGAAGCATCTTTCTAATGTGAATAAAGGATTCTTCCGGAAAATCAAGTGAGGTCGAGTGACGGTGCGTCAAATATAACCGTGGCAGAGGGTAAGCCTAATTCTGACGTCGCAGAACTGGTTGAGGTCAGGAAACGTCGTTTCTCGATAGATATCACAAGTGGTTTCATAGAACATGTGACTGCTTTCATAGTCCACGACCAGCCGCGCGATCAGTCGAGCGACCGGCAACTAGTCGCGCGACTGGTCGCCAGTCGCTCGCGAGATGGGTCCGCGACCGGTTGCGCAACTGGTCGCTCGCAAAATCGTGGAATATGAAAGATGCCTGTGTTTCATTCCCCATTGTTTTGAAAACTGTTTGTTTCCAGGCATACCTTCTTATGATTGAATTTGCTTAACTTTATGAAAGTGGGTGCAGTCCTGGCGGTCTAAGTCGGCATCATTGAATATTCCGTAGTGTTGTCGGTGAACATCGATCCAATGCCCTTGATGCTCAAATTTACAATTTACATTTTAAAACTCACTTGGGCAACCACCAAGTCGGAAGAGTTTTGGAGGAACCGTCAACGATATCGATTGCCACGCTCCTTATTGATTGCCTTTGTCTGCCACACATGCGCGCACTCAGAACCCAGCCGAACTCGCTATCTCATCTCACTGCGCTTCCTTTTTATCCGTGTTCTGTTCAGATGATGTTTGGCCTCTCCCTTCCCCAGCTACCCATCTACTGCCTATCCTTTCCTTTCGCACTGGAAGAACGGCCTCTGTTTTTTCATAAAGGCTCGTTACGGTATGCAACGTGAGACTCAGGTTTCACAAAACCTACGATCATACAGAGCATATGAATCTTTGAAAAGAACTAATCAGTGGAAGGGAAGGGAAGGGGGGGGGACGTTCTCTTTTAGGTTTTCTCAGGAACGTACACATCCCTCCCAATTGCCATTAGGAGAAATAGGAATCGATTCATCGTGTTGATTCTTGCTCAGCCGCTCCAAGTAGGATTACTAAATCATGATTCACTTTCTCGTCCAAGCAGCACCTGGCTACTGCCTGTTCAACCCAGCAGGCATATCCAAGTCCCATAACAAGAGCATTACCCAAAATGCACACACATATCCC